TTAAGGTCAAATTTTGACATCATGTTAACGAAAACTTGTACCACCTAATGCTTTAAAGACATTTTCATTCATATTCGAGTACGAGTGTCGGATACGGAAACTTATATCCCATTTTCTTAGTTTTGGGCCATTTGGAGGACTTGTCTGCAAAATATTCCCAGCATATGTAATCTACATTCCTAAATAACAAGAATCAAAAGATCCATTACCGTTTTGAGAAGGTTAACTAACTATAAAACTATGCTGAAGAAGTGTAATTCTCTTGCCTGCAACAGCTAGTAATTTATTGTAAATTAAAATTAATGTTGCATGTTTTTCGAGTACTTGATATTATAAGTAACACTTTTAAGGTCTTGTTTGATTTCAAAAAACATGGAAGTTTTAAAAATAATAAATAAAAGATTTTATACCATGTTGTTTGGTTTTTGAAAATTGTAATATGAATATATTTAATAGCATTGTATGTTTCTATTTAAATATAAAAACTGGGCTTGGCCGACATATTACAAAAGAGGACATAAACAATGCAAGAAATATTATTAAATATTTTAGGGTGAATTATATATTTGACATTTTACTTATTTTCATGTTTTTGTTTTAGTTATACGCTGCACTTAAAATTTAACGTGATAAAGAAAATAAACTCAAGAGAAACATGAGACTAAAATCCAAAACTTTTGTAAAAGGATTCTACTCTTAACCACTGAGTTATATATATATATAAGATATGATTAACTTATACAATGTAAAACTTTTTTAGTTTTACACATATATAAGATCGTTGGATGAGTGAAATAGACGGTTGAGATTAACTCTTTTTTTTCTGGCGATTATCTTCTCATTTCCTATTGATAATCTCAACAATCTATTTCATTCATTCAACTGTCATAAATTTGTTTAAAATTAAAAGGTTTTACATATATTTAAACTTCACTAAAATGAAGAAGTGTAGTTGGAAAAAGTAAAGGATTCAATAGATCGGAATAGTTGGAAAAGATTTTAAGCAAATTGGGTTGGAAATGTCACTCCCATAATGAGTTTCTGTAAAATTAAATCGAAAATAATCGATCAATAAATCAAATACTAATACAACAACAATAACAAAACCTTATTCTCATATGTAATGGGGTAAGGGGGAGGTAGGGTAGTAGGTTGCCCCCAACACTAGGTTGAGAGTAACTTCCGTGGAAGACCTCCGGCAGTCAGAAAATTAAAAATAAAGATAAAATGCAATGCATGTATAAATAAATAAATGAATAAATAAATCAAATACTAATGATTAAAAAAATCAAACTCGAAACTCCTAACGCAATGAATATTGTACTTAACCATTAAATTAAATTAGGAATTTGAAAATAAAGTAGGGATTAATAGCAGAAGTAATGAGAATTTGACCATATAAAATCTCTCTCTATAAACTAGGAAGCATTCACGTATTGAAAAAAATCCATGTAGGGATGGCAACGGGTTAAGTCGAGTTTTTGGTCAATCTGACTCGAAACATATATATCTTCCACTTGATCCGATTTGATATGACTCGAAGAGTATATTTTTCTTACTCGAATCCGATCCGACTCAAATTTTTAGATTATAAATCTGACATGACTCTATCCAAAATGATATAAAATAAGGACCTAATTATAAAAAAACTATAGAGAGAGGAATATTATTGCAATTGTCCATAAATTTATATGAAAAAATTACACTATTACTCCAGGATTAGGTCAGGTCAGGGATTTTTCACCCTCCACCCGAACCCAACCCGACTCTATCCAACCTAACCCATGTATAAAATCCGATTCAATCTAAACCCGAATTTTAAAAAAAAAATCCCTAAACCCAAGCCTCTCCAGCATAAAAGTTGACAGGCAGCTTACAAAATAGGGTAAAGTACACATTTTGTACCTAACTATTATTTTTTTTTCGATACTTAAATTTTATTTTTTTTCAAAATCATACCCAACGTTCAGTTTAGATTTTAATTTGAAACCGAAACTAAATTGAAGCCCAAAATAAATGTTAGCTATGATTTTAAAAAAAATAAAGTTATACCAAAACAGAATAAAAGTACTAAATTAAGTACTAAACATGTAATTTATCCTAAAATATTCCATTGTCGGGAATTGAACCCGGGTCTCCTAGGTGAAAGCCAAATCTCCTAACCACTGGACGACAATGGAAGCTTGTTTTCTAATTTCTTTTTTCTTTATTTATCATCTAAAACCTATTTTTATTTATTTTTCATATTAAAAAATATACTTGGTTTTTTTTTTTGTTAATCAATTATAATTTTAGATAAAAAAAATTATATTTAGTTGAATTTTGACAATTAAAACCAATGAAAAATATGATTAATTAATAGTACAAGTTATGTGAATATTTGGCAAAAATGAAATTGACCTCTTATAAAATATTAAATTGAAAAATTCTTCAAAACTAAACCTAAATTTGAATGGGTTTTTATTTTTTTTAATTTTTTGACATGTAATTTTATTCGAGTTAACTTTTTTATCGTTAATTTCATCAAACAATTTGATATTATCTAACTCGTTTTATTTAAACATATGATGAAATATTGTACACTTTAATATTTTTTGGGTACATATTTATACGGATTTAAACTAAGATAAGTTCATTAATTAAATTTAAAGTTAAAAAATTCTTTATTTTATTTATTTTTCTCAATCTTGCAAGACATTTCCAATGAAAATAGGATTTTTATTTTATAATTTCCTATAATTTTATTTAAAAAATCATTTTTAATATTTTCACTTATGAGAACGAAATAAAAAAATAACATTTATTTCTTATAAAGAAAAAAATCAAAATTAAGTTTAAATATAATATATATATAGTATCGATGATATACATATTTATCAAAATATTTTACCCTAGTCGTTTCATCATTTTTCTTTGTCTTATATGTTTATTATTTTTCTTTCATTTTTGTTAGTTGCTAATGATATTAACTTTAGTGTTGGTCGTCGACCGTTAACATTCATTTTTTCATTTATTTTTCTATTTAGTGTTTTTGTTTTTCCTTTAGTTTTAGTCTCTAATAAGTATCTTTATAACATATTTTTCTATGCTTATGACACACTTTTCGTTGTTTTTATGTCATATTTTCCTTTATTTGTTGACATATTTTTTATATATTTTATTGGATGTTTAACCTTTCTCTTTTTTTAATTATTTCAGGGCCAGATTTGACGTTGGATCAACTCATCATGATGATATTTATTTATTATTATGTTAATATACCTGCTTTAGACCATTAGATTTAAATATTCTAATTATGTATTATAAATCTTTGTTGTAATTTAAAATTTTCCCATTTCTTTAATAAAATTAATTGTTTATATTTCCATAAAAAAATTAATTCGACCTCCAATGTTGGTATCTAAGATTAATCTACTTTTTTAAATGTGTTTAATTTTACTATTTAATATCATTTTCTAATAAAATATTTTTATCTAGATCCTCTCGAATATGAATAGGTACATTGTTCAACTCATATAATATATATATATATATATGATAACAAATGCTGATCAAAATTTTGCTCAGTTAATATCGTCTGTACACTACATAACGAGACGTAGGTACAGGCAAAACTTAAAACTCAATATCTATATACAAATCAAACAACCTCATAGATTAAAGGATGATTATTATCCCTATATCTATAAATCGCGAGTTCGAGGACAGCACCTATAGAAATGTTTAAACGTTATTTGTTAAATGATAGAAAATCTTTCGAACAAATATTATCTTATTCATCCTAGACTGATCAAAAGAAAAAGGAAAACTCAATATCCATAAATTATGGATGATTTGTTCCAAAAAGCTAACCGAACCATCTTCAGCTCTTTGCACATCCCATTTATTCATTGCATTTTTGCTGCTGAAGATTTTATGCTTTCCGATTCAAATAATCCATGGATTTAGAGTACATAAAAGAAGTTGCATTGTAGAGTCGAGAAATGGCACATTTATGTCAAGTCTAAAGAAGGGATATCATCTAAATCTATCAACAAACAGTGAAAGCTGAATTCGTCAACTAAGTCACTGGTGTAGTGGTCAAAGCCTCACGTCTTCCACCGACACCTAATCCCGAATTCGAATCCTGGACAGGGATAACGTTGTCTATCAAAACCTAATCCCAAACTCGAATCTTGGACAGGCATAACGCTGTCTATCGACACCTAGTCCCGAATTCGAATCCCATACGGATAGCTCCTATCCCTCCCTTTTTCAAAGAAAATAAAAATAAAAGAGCAAAATGTCACTTCCAAACAAAATATGCTCACAAAACAAAGGCCCTCTTTCGAAGAACATAAAAGTAAATCATAGAGTTACACCCCATATTTCATTGCAATATCAATATCAATCAACCAATCTTATCGATTCTATGTTTCTTTTCTTCTGCTTTTGGAACCCCACTTCACCTTGCATTTTCAACAAGGTTGAAGCCAAAATTAAATTTCGACAGAAAACAAAATATTAGACTATTTAAGAAAAATATAAAGACTTACTAGGTATTTAAACTTGAAATTCAACATAAACCAAACGACCTTAATGATTAAGAGATTGTTGTTATCCTTGAGGTCCCAAGTTCATTGTCAGATAGTTAAAAGTCTTTATATATTACCTTGTATTCACACTAAATTAAAAAAATACTCAAAACTCAAAAAAATACTTCTAATTTGTCTAATATTTAAACTTTCAATGACTTAAATTGTAATTAGACTAAAAATTTGATAGTACAGACTTATCATTCTTTAGTTCGACCTCTACTTATTAAATATTTAATAAATTTTTATATTTTTATATTTTTAAAATTTAAATATTTATTTTTACATGAATCAAAATACTATTAAACCAAAATTATATCGAATATATAAATTTTAACAGGAGCCGTACCCTTTTGGTCCCTAAGGGAGTTGCGTCCCTGATTTTGGGGAATCCACTGCTTTGATAGAGCACCAAGACAAGCAAACCACCACGGACCGAAGTTAGATCTCGGCATTACATGTTCCAGCTTGCAACTAGCGTATCAATCACGTCAGGGCTTGTGGATCTTGAAGCCGAAAACTCTAGGGATGTAGTTTTGAGTTGGCTTGTGAGGCTTTAGGTGCCCATATGTCATCAGAAATAGATGTGGAAATGTTGTACCAAAATAAGCTCCGTCGATATCTTTGGTAATGTCAAGAAAATTAAGCAGTAAAACAAAGATGTCGAGCAAATGTACAATTCCACCCGCAGAAATGTGAAAAAACAGAAGAGGTCTTACATGCCCAACGACATCACAGAAGGGCATTTGGGAACATAGACTCCCTTCTCTGCCAAAATCGAGACTCATAAGCATGGGCATGGGCACCCTAGCAAGGACAAGGAGCATAGTCCAACACACAAGTATGACTAATTTTTGGTAGGGTTACCTAGAAAAAAGTTGTTTTAATCTTTGTAGGATGTGTGTCAAACGTCACAAGCATGACATGATAGCGAAACCGAACTACAGGTAATTTAGTTCTCAAAACCAGTAAAATTGTAATCATAAAAATGGGAAAGAAAAATGCCATTGGTGAAATGAATAAAAAAGGATACTGCCTTGATACTTGGATCGAGGATAATATATATCTTCACATTTTGGGCAGTAGATTTTCACGGTACTTGAGCGAGGAATATCTGACTGACCAACTGGAAGACAAGGTTGTCCAGTGCAACAAACTCTCGGGCATCTTCCGAAGTCATAGCTTTTGTACTTCTCCAACTGATATACAAATTTCAAAGTTGAACTTTGTAAATAAGATATGAAGAAGTCAACAGAAAGCAAAAACGAAAAAGAAAATGACAGCGATTTTACCATAGCAGACATTCCCTTCGTAGTTAATATATAACGGACATGTATAAGACCATACAACATCTCAGCTGCTGATTCAACCATTTCATTTTGTTCTTCAGTGAACATATCGCCTATAATGCCCAAAAGACATCTACTTAGTTGTAAGAACCAAAGTGCAATGATGGCTGTCGTGTATCACAAAAAAAAAAAAGGAGCCATACATTCGAAAATTGAAATGCACAGGTACAGAAAACAGACAAAAATGACAGTGAAGATGCTAAACAACATTAAAAACATGGGAAGGCGGCTAAATATAGATGCAAGCATTGTAACCGCAAACTTTCTGCAGTAATTGCAAAAACTCAATATTAAAAATAATAAATATTTTTTTCAAATCGACAAGCATAGCGTCAAGCAGGCACAAGCAGTCGATGTGGATTGTGGAGGGTAGTAAGATTACTATTATGTATCTGAAGCCTAAACCCCAAAGAATTCTCATCAAACCCAAATCACTGGAAAATGAAGATAAATAACTGAAACAATTTACTAAACATAAACCTAAATTTTGGAACGTATAACATCTCCTTGACCTCGAGAAACTATCAAATCTTCCAAAATTTATGCAATCCGAGTCATGCAATGCTTACCATGAGAAGACTCAATGTCCAAAATTAAATAAAGTGCATAGTCATAATATGGAACTTGATGGCTCAACCCACAAAGATTAAAGTCATCTTGGACGTAATCATCATCAACTTCACAGAAAAATTCATTTCCTCGCAAATTGCAAAACCATGAGATCCAAGATGTGTCATCTCCGTCCGAACCGCTAACATCGGATTCTTCACTGTCCGTTTCAGATTCCACTGCAACCAAATTAATTACTCTCTTATTAATCATGATTGATGATCTTATTAGTCTCTGTAGTTTTTCAAGTAAAAACATGACAAGGAGGAACACGATAACTTAGAACTCTAACAATCTTCAGAAAATGATGATACTAAGATTTAAGCTAGCTTCCGTGGTTATAGACTTGAGATTTTGTAATAACAAGTAGAGGGGAAAAAGCTACGGATGGCAGTGGATAGTGCAGATTCCAATATCTGCAAATATTCACTTGCTTTTTTTGGATTCATATAACACTCAAATTTGGATATTCTAATTACTATCTGCAGGGAATCCGGAGTGGATGCAAATATTAACCTTTGAACATCCATTATTTGAATCCTCTTTAATTTTTATTTTTAAATTTAACTTTTTTAGACTTCTAATTGCAGATTTTTGGCGTAATTTAATTAATTAGGATCCGGATAATAACACTCAGATTTAAAAAAAAATGGATTTTCAAGCAGATTTACAGATTCGAATTCGGGTTTTACAGAAATTGCATAAACACTGGCTGTCATCATAAACAACCTATTTTCAGTAAACCAATATCCCGAACATTTGGGCTTCGACAATTCGGTTCGAGAATGGGAAAGATTCACGTACAGTTTTCAAGTTAAACACTACCCACAGGCAAATACACAAACCCATCATCTCAGAGATTCCGAAAAACACTTCAAAACCCCAGATCATGCTTAAATGAAATTAACTCGACAAAAAAAAAACAAGCCAACGTCAACGCATCAAAAGAAATAAAAGCAACTAACCATCGGAACATTGGGCTTTGGAGAGAGGTGCAGATCGCGAATCGCGATGATCAAGCTGAGGTTTACCAGTGGAAGTTGAAGGCACAGATGATCTTTCTTTCTCCTTGCTATTATTCAATCCCCTCGAAATGGACGGTGATAACTTCCCTAGATGCTTGTCCAGAGCATCGTTTATACGCTTCCGATCGAACGGTCCTCCCATTAGCTCCGATTTCGACGATCTTCCTCCTCGATCTCTATGATTATACATAGATTTTTTATCTTGTTCACCTTACGAATCTCAAAAGCTTCGATTTTTTTTTCAAAGTTGAGGATGGACAGAAATTCAAGCCTTTTTGAACACGAAGGAAACCCTAGAATTGGAAATAAGGGTGTTGTGCAAGTTGAGGATGAAACGACTGCGTTTCTATGAACTCCTGTTTTCTTGTTATAGCGGCTGGTGGATTCACTTGCTGCTCTGTTCCTCTTCTTGGGATATTTAAGGGTAATATATATAGGTCAAACTCTGTAAGTAGTCCTTATACTATGGATTAATGATAGATTTAGTCTCTGTATTTTAATTCAATCAATTTTAAGTTTATACTTTTTGAATTTTAAATTTTCAGTCTTGGTTCAAATAATACATCGACAATATGATTAAATTATTAAAAATAAAAATTATTAAATTTAAAAAGTAAAATAAGAAAATTAAGCAACAATGGAAGGTGTCTACAGCCACATTACTTGTTGCATTGGTGAAATCTCGACCCCTAGCCCTGATCTCGACTCCAATTCAAGTTTGTCCTTAACCCTAAATCTGACCTCGACCTTGATCTTGACCTTGATTATAACTTTAGACCGACCTTGATCCTGACTCCAACCACTACCTCGACCCCAGCTTTAATCCTAACTCTAATCATGATTTTAATCTTAACTTCGAAGTTTATCTCGACCTCAACCTTGATCTTAACCCTAATCCTAACTCTGACCCCTACCTCAATCCTATCTACTAGGTTGTAATAGTTATTCCCTTTAACAGGCTTCAGAAATAGGGTTGTAATAGTTCTTTCCTTCAACAGGCTTCAGAAATTCATTAATATTTAGAGTACAACCAAGTAGAGAACAAGGATCAGTGCATGCCATAAGTACATTCTTACAAATGAAATTGCAAAATCACTAAAAAGGGAATTATTGCAAGTTTTGTAATAAACAAATTAAATAGATGTCAACGATTTTAGTTTATGAACAAAAGTACAAAATAATCATCAATGTTTGATAACACTCTTGGAGACCACTACACTATTAGGTCGATTCTATTTTGAGAAGTTAACAAAAAAATTTGTCGTTAGGTTACTGAAATTTTAATTTGATTTCAATCAAGAGTCGTTAAATATTAAGAAAATTTTTGATGTGTCAATTAAGCAAATTTATATAATAACATATTTGGTACTCATTACTTACGCATTCTATCAAATTCATCTTAAATTTAATTAGAAAAAATTTGATAATCATTCAATAAGATGATGACATGTTTCACCATCTTACTGATTGAAAATTTGAGAAAAATAGGATGGTTTTGAAGGACTCAAACTTGTATCATAAGCTGTAGGCACATGCCAAACAACTTATTGGAAGATTATTAAACTATTTCAAATTAAAATTAGGATTAAATTGATAGACTGTATATATAACAAAAAACAACTGTATTTTTCTAAAATTTTACTTAATTGACATGTCAATATTTATGTTAATATTTAACAATCGACTTGATTAAAACAGTTGAATATAACAATGTTGAGTGACGGTTATACTTGTACACATGAAAAAGCTTATTGTTGTAGGTGGTTAGGCTAGTGTGAAGTTGTTAGGATTGTTAGACGGTTAAGTAGCTGCTTAAGCTGCATAGTCTTTACAATGCTATATATAGAGCATGTTTGCTTCATTGTAAAGCCATCTTGGTTATCAATTTGAATAAAGAAGTTCTTTAGCTTTGTTTATTATTTATTTCTCAATATGATATCATTCGCTAAAGGTTATGGCTCCGAGTTTCCGTTTACGGTGATGGTTCTTAAGAGTCCGACTCTCTCCTCAGCCTCTGGATGTAGTTCAATGGTGCGGTCAGTCATATTCACTAATAAGAAGGTGAACGTTGTCTTGGACGAGATGAATTTCTTATTTTGGAAGCAGCAGGACTGTTCGCAATCATCGCCTTGAGCGACTATTGAATGGTTCGATGCCAGTGCCTCCAGAAACCATTGTTGATCGAAATGGTGAGGTTATTTTTAATGAGGCGTTTGAGGATTTTGTGGTGCAAGATAGTGCGCTAGCATCCAGGTTGTTGTCTACCATCAATCCTTAGTTGTTACCTCAATTTGTTGGTACTGAGACGGCAGTTGTAGTTTGGAGTAAGGTGGTTCAATTCTTTGACAATCGTTCGACCACGGCGGTGATGAATCTACTGTATAAACTTCAATCTATTAAAAAAGAAGATGATAGAATGCGTGTATATCTCACTCGCGTTAAGCAAGTGTGCGATGCACTTGAGTCATGTAGCAGTCATGTTGCTCCGGTTGAACAGATTGTGAGTGTGTTAAAAGGTTTACCTCAAGAATATCAGCTAGTTATGGTTGTTGTAACCACCATGCGTGAAACTCTCACTATTGATGTTGATAGCAACATGTTGATTGATTCTAAAACTCAGTTAGCTGGCTTTGATTTTCCAACAGACAATCTCCCGATGAGAGCTCATGTTGCATAGGCGATGAATCGTCATATCTCTGATTCTAGATCTGCTTAGGATTTTAATCGCAAGTCGTATTATATTTCCTCAGGTGGTAGATTTGGTGGTCGTGGTAGAGGTCGTCCACGAGTGTAGTGTTAGCTCTACGGTAAGGTTGGTCATCTGGTTTAATAATGTTGGTATCAGTTTGATCGTGACTTTCTTGGTGATGGTAGTGACACTCCATGTTATAAATCTGGTCCTAGCAATGTTAATTTGATTGAAAATGTTCAATATGATTGTTGTCCAAATGCTAGTGAAGTAAGATCCACTGAGTCTCCTCAAGCTAACGTAGTGTCTACCTCTCGTGAGCAATGGTGGTTGATTCTGGTGCCACACGTCATGTGACTCCTGATGTTACCAAGATTGCTCATCATTCTGATTATAAGGGACCATGTAACCTTTTAATTGGTAATGATGTTTTTCTTGATGTACAAACTGCTGGTAATGTTTTCTTGTCTTCTCGCTCGCAAGAATTGACGTAATTGAATGATATTTTGCCTGTGCCTAAGATAACTAAGAATCTCCTCTCTGTGTCCAAGCTTGCTAGGGACAATTGTTTTTTTAGTTTCGAGCTGATGAGTGTTGTGTTCGTGATGAATTTACTTGTCGCATTCTTCTTCGAGGCAAACAACGTGGTGGCCTTTACTCATTTGCACTGGCTAATGACTCGACCTTATGTGATCCTGCTAGTGTTAGTACAACTATTGCTCATGATTTATCTGAGTTGTGGCATAGTTACTTGGGTCATCATTCATTTAATACTTTGAAGATTGTTTGTAATCTTTTGCATGTACATATTTCAAATGATTCTAATAAAAATTGTGTTGCTTGCTGTGTTGGGAAAAATCATAAGTTGCCCTTTGATTCCTCTCAAACTATGTACACTGAACTTTTCCAACTTGTTTTCTTTGATTTGTGGGGTCCCACACCTACCAATTCTAATGGGTTTAGGTACTATGTTTCATTTGTTGATGCATGCACTCGTCATTCTTAGTTGTACTTGCTGCAGAATAAGTCTCAAGTTGTGACTATGTTTCAATTGTTTAAGAGGATGGTTGCCACTCAATTTGTCTTACCCATTAAAGCCAGTCAAAGTGACTGGGGTGGTGAATATAGACCACTGACTAGTCTTCTGGCCAAGGAATGAATTGTTAATCATGTAATGTGTCCACACACGTCTGAATAGAATAGGGTTGTGAAGTTAAAACATCGTCGCTTGATTGAATTATCTCTCGTTTTGTTGGCTCAGGCTTCTTTACCCTTGAAGTTCTGGTCTTATGAAGTAATCACTGTTGTGTATCTTATCAATAGAATTCCTACATGAGTGCTACAGGGTGTCTCTCCATTTGAAAAATTATTTCATAAGCAGCTTGATTATAAGTTCATAAAAGTGTTTGGTTGTCGATGTTTTCCTTATTTGCTATTGTTTCACAAGCACAAGCTTATATTTCGATCCCATGAGTGTATATTCTTAGGCTACAATCCTCAGCACAAAGGATTTCAGTGTCTTGCTCCTAATGGACTTGTCTATATCTCTCGTCATGTGAAGTTTGATGAAATGGTATTTCCTTTTGCAGCTTCATCCTCACAGTCCTCAAGTTCTACATCTGGCCAAAAGTTTCCTGCGTTAGATGTGGTCATGCATTCACAGAGTTTACGTGTGCCTAGGGCTTCCTCATGTGTGCATGATTCTCTTATAGTCTCACCTGCTAATGATAGTCCTCCAGTTGTTCCTATTGTTTCTTATGATTCAATTTTACCATCTAACGGGGACATATATGTTGTTCCTTCTCAAGCATCTTTACTTGTATAGGTTACTTCTGCTTTTGATATGGGGTCTTACAATGAGTCTCGGGTGCTTGAACAACCGATTTCTACTCCACCCTCCACTTCACAATCATATGTTGAGTTAAATATTCACCCTATGTGCACTCGCAGTAAGGCTGGCATTTTCAAGCCTAAAGTATTTCTTAGTAGTATGGATGAGTTGGTACCTGACACTGTTTATGAGGCTTTTCGGTATGATAAGTGGGTTGCAGCAGTTCATGATGAGCTTGCTGTTCTCCAAAAGAATGAAACCTGGACTTTGGTTAAACTTCCATATGGGAGGACTATTGTAGGGTGTAAGTGGCTTTTCAAGCTTAAGAAGAATGTTGATGGCACTGTGCAAAGGTATAAAACTTGACTGGTTTCTAAGGGTTATTATCAGGTACCATATCAAGATTTCTAAGAAACTTATAGTCCCATGGTTTGCTTTTTCATAGCCAATGTTGTGTTGTCATTGTCTATCTCGAAGAAGTGGACACTTCGACAAGTTGATGCGAATAACGATTTTCTCAATAGCGAGTTGTGTGAAGATGTTTTTATGCAGCATCCACCCATGTTTGAAGTATTTGCCTTTGATGTTACTCCACTAGTTTGTAAGCTTCAGAAAGCTCTTTATGGCCTGAGACAATTGCCTCGCAATTGGCATACTAACATTCGTGATAGTTTACTTGCGTTAGGGTTTCGAGAATCCAAAACAGATTGTTCTCTTTTATTGCTACTTAGGCTAGTGTTCGTACATTTATTCTCATGTATGTTGCTGATATCATCTTGAATGGAGAGTCTTTGAGTCATATTGAGTATGTCATTTGTGAACTCAAGAAGCAGTTCTCTATTAAAGATCTTGGTGACTTATCGTATTTTTTGGGCATCGAGGTTAAATGGTGTGCAAACTATCTTGTGTTGAGTCAGAAGAAGTTTGTGTTAGATTTACTAGCAAAAATGAAAATGGCTCAGGTCACACCAACTACTTCTCCTATGGTTTTGTCTACTAAGCTGTCTAAGGATGCATGCAATCCTTTAGTTGATGCATGTTGAATTATGGCTTGGCCTTCATTTCTGCTGGTTCTGACCTTCAAGTTACTGCATTTGCTGATGCAGATTTGGGTGGTGATATAGATGATAGATGATTGATGTATGGTCATTGTGCTTTTATTGGAAATTGTTAGTGTCCTGATTATCAAGGAAACAGAAGATTGTTTCACGCTCAACCATGGAAGCTGAGTATAAAAGTCTTACTGATGTTGTTGCAGAAGTAATGTGGATCAGTGATTTTCTTGTAGATCTGGGTGAAGTTCATGTCACACCTCTTACCATCTGGTGTGACAATTCTGGTGCTATTGCAATGAGTGCCAATCCAATCTATCATGCACAGTCCAAGCATGTTGATCTAGATGTGCATTTCGTTTGCGAGAAAGTTGCTACTAAACAATTGTATGTCCAACATGTGCCAGCGTTTCATCTAGGGATGGGTATGGAATCCGAACCCGAACCCGACCCGATCGGGTCGGATTTTTTTTTAAATTTTAGAGTCGGAGTTGGGTTTAGGGTTAAAATAATCTTACCCGACCCGACCCAAACAGTAACTCAATTATTATTGTTTTTAATTTTTTTCTACTTTAGGTGCTTTACAGCAGACATAACAATTATAGTTTTTTTTGCTTTACTTTACTCTCCATTAAAATCTCTGTTTCTTACTTTGATGTGAATTCAGATTTTTTTATGTGAAATTATAGTTTTTTTTGCTTTACTTTTTTCTACTTTCGGTGATTTACAACTTTACTTTACTCAATTATAGTTTTTTTGCTTTACTTTACTTTTCATTAAAATAATATTACCCTACCCGACCCGATCCGAACAATAACTCATATATTATTTTTTTACGTGAGTCTCCATTAAAATTAACTCGGGTCGGGTCGAGTCGGATTTTTAAATTATGTATCAGATCGGCTTTGGGTCGTGTGAAATATTATTTCGGTCGGGTCGGGTCTCGGGTGGAGGACCCCTTGTTCTCGGGTCGGGTCGGGTGGACCAAAAACCCAACCCAACCCAACCCACCCCATGTCCATCCCTAGTTTCATCAGATTGCATATGGTTTTACTAAACCCTTGCCCCGAGGTGCTTTTGAGATTTTTCGCGAACGAGTGAATGTTCAACTTGTTGAAAACAAATAAAAAGTATAGGGAATGTTGAATATAGCAACGTTGAGTGACGATTATACTTGTACACATGTCAAAAGCTAATTGCTTTAGGTGGTTAGGTTGGTGCGAAGTTGTTAGGATTGTTAGACGGTTAAGAAGATGCTTAAGTTGCATGGTCTTTAGCAGTGTTATATATAGAGCATGTTTGCTTCATTGTAAAGTCATCTTGGTTATCAATTTGAATAAAGAAGTTCTTTAGCTTTTTTTTCTTACTTATTTCTCAATAAAAACAAAATTGAAAATTGAATAAACTATTTGAAATTTTTTTGTTCGGTGATCAAAATATAATCTATACAATAGTTTAAACAATTAACTAAGTATAAATTACTAGACCTGCCACATCATATATCCCTGCCATGTTAGTGTATTTTATTCGTTAAAAAAATCCATGCCATGTTTGTCTAATTTTAATTCATTTTCGTAATTATTCTTTTTTGGACCAAACTGTCTAATTTTAAGTATAAGAAGTACATGAGAAGGTTTTATCAAGGGTAAGTGTTCGGTCGAGTCGAGTTAAACAAATTTAAGTTATTTGAATTGATAAGTCTAATTTTATAAGTCAAAATTTATTTGATATTTGTTCTAGTTCATGCTTAAATTTAATTATATATATTTATAATATTATGATACTATTTGATTCTAATTTGAACTATTTTATATAACCATATATAATACATGTATATTTCATCATATTTTTTTTATATGTGATATATATATATATCATATAAAGTTGATAGACTCGACTCAAACTTGAAAAATTAACCAACTAATTACTAAAAATTTGAGTAATTTCTAGTTCTATTTTATATCTTGACTTGAATTTGAATTTCAAGTTGAGTTGAGTCAAGTTTTTCGATTAGAATCAAATAAAAAACCAATTTTTTGAGTCGAATTTTACTCACCTCTAATTTTTACTGTTAGCTTTATTACACTTGTATTATAACTTAAACTTAGTCGTCGAATGTTTTAAATCCTTGAAAATATTCTAAATAAATACTATTTTATAATCCCGTAAAACTATTAAAACAGAACTCTTAAAAAGATTCATTTAATAAACTGACTGTATAGGTGAAAAGAACTTTTAGGTCCATAATATTAAAATTTAACAAATTGGTCCTCTAAGAAAAGGAGCATTTTAGTCCGTCAATCTTAAAAATGAACAACTAAGGACAATTGATCCCACCAAGAATGTTTCTCTATCAATGTTAAATAATTTTGATTGGCACGATAACAAATCTAGCCATTAATTTGTATACATTTTTGTTAACTAGGTCCCAATTATAAAAAAATCAACAAATTTAACCCTCAAAATTTGCATACTCTATTAATTTAGTTATTGTTATGAAAATTCAAAAAATTAACAAAAATATTAACAGCGCGGTCAATTGTCCTTAGTTACTCACTTTTAAATTTATAATCAAATACTAAATTGATTATAACTAAATTGTTCTTTTCTAGAGGGACCAATTTGTCCAATTTTAAACATAAGAAGTGCTGGAGAGAATTTGTACCATATTTTAGTATATCCTACTTGTATTATAACTCAATCGAGTCAGCAAATTTTTTTTTACTCGAACCTTTAGGAAAAACAACAATCATTTTTACTATTGGAATCATTCAATGGGTTCAGTTTTCGAATGTTTAATTCTCCTAAAATAATATATCTAATAATTTGACATTTTATTAATTAAAGGACCTTTTAGAACCTTAATTTTAAATTTTGACAAATCAATCACTCTAAGAAAAGGAACATTTTAGTTTCAATTTTTTATGCAAATAGAAGCCGCAAGTTTTATAAAAAAGGAGATAAAATCCAACATTATAGTGAACATACAATTATGACATGTCCATGTAGCATTAGAAACTAGTCACTTGAATACAGGAGGTCAGCGATCAACATGAAAGCTGGTGTCGTCACTAGAGCTATAAATGATATGAAACAGATCGCGAGCTACTCGAGATCGTCTTGATCAAAGTTTAGTCAACACTTGAATCAAATCAGCTCAACTCGAGCTCAAACTCAAAACTTGACTCGAGTTTTTAATGAGTCGAAACGAGCTATTTGATTCCCGAATCGAAAAACTCACGAGCAACTCGAAAAATAATATTTTTAATTTTTCAAAATTAAACTATTAATAATATTAGCATTAATGTGTTGTTTTTTTAAAATACAATATAAGGTTTTCATGTACTTAAGATTTAGGTTCGAGCTCGAGTTTAAGCTTCAATCGAGCTAAATCTGAGAATGTTTCGAGTTCAAATTTTATTGAGCTTGAGTTGAGCTTTAATTTTTTATTTCGAGTCGAGCTTAAAATTTTTATTTTCACGAACTTTTGAGCCGAGTCGAGCTTTAATCTTTTATTTTGAATTCGAGTCGAGCTTGACAGTTTTAAACTCGTGAGTTTTTGAATCAAGTCGATCCTAAATTCAATTTTTTGAATTAATTCAAACTCAACAATACTCGAACTCGACCCAACTCATTTATAGCCCTAACAGCGTGTTACCAAACAAATAAGAAAAGAAAGAAGAAGAAGAAAATGGTTAGTTCATTAATTTTAAAAGTGAGCAATTAATGACAATTGATCATTAAAACAATGATTTCCTGTCAATGTTATACATTGTTATTGGTTCAATAAAAAATAATCTTTAATATTTTAACATTTTTATCAATTTCATCACAATTATAAAAAATTAACAAATACAATCTTTAAAATTTTTTATACCTTGTTAAATGATTTTAAAAATTTAAAAGTTGACATTCATCAATTGTTCCCAGTCACCTACTTTTGAAATTATTAAAGACAACAACGAAGCTATGCTTTATCTAGGATGGTTACTATTCCTTTCTTCATTATTAAAAAATATAAGAGTAGATATTAAATTAGATATTTTATTTTTAATTTAATTTAAAATTTCTTACCTTCTATTTTTATTATTAATTATATTTTGTTCTATTGAATTGATATTCTTCTTTCTTTAGATGGACCAAACTGTCTAGTTTTAAATATATGAAGTACCTGAGAGGGTTTTTACCATATTTTAGTCTGTATCCTATTTGTATTATAACTAAAATGGGATATTATTCAAGATGATACCAGTAACAAGGGGGTTTTTACTAGTCGTAATCTTCCTAAAACGCCGGCGACAGTTTGTTACCAAATTCTACTTTCTCCATTTTAGAGAAACAATATATACATATATTGTAAAAAAAAATGAATTATTATTTTTGTTGATGATTCTCTTGCTGCTCTGTGTATTGGCGAACCGTTGTGTTCTCTATCTGCACACTCTTTTGAGTTCACAGGTACGCATTCGTCTGTTGGTCGAACCCTAATTCTTCAATCCTCATTTCCGTCTCGATGTAATGTCATGACTGCTTTCCATTGGATTTTTTTTTTGAATTTCGTTGCATTTGTTCTGTTGATGCCAGAGATTTCAATAAAAGAAAAAAGAGAATAGGAGGTATCTAGAGTGGGGGATATGTCCTTCAATCAATCAAGGTCGGATAAAAGTGAGCAACAATACCGAAAATCAGGACGATCCGCCTGCTCTAATCAGCAGCGGAACTCCTCGGGCGGTTACGGTAAGGGAGCCGGCGGCGGGCCTGCCCCTTCTCCTTCTCTTTATTCATCTTCCGCTTCTAGTCGAAGGTAACGAGAACTCTTCATCATGCTTTCAGGGTTTTTTCTTTCTTTTTTCGTTTAATTGCCAGTTTATTTAGGGTTCTTTTATGATTAGGGTTTTCTGTGTGATCCATCGATTCTTGATTCTTTTTTTTTGTTGGTTGATCCTGATATGACAGTTTTAAGAAGTCTAACAATGCACAAGGAGAGCAATCTAGGGTGAATTCTCCGGCTCTAAATTCTACTGAGTCTAGTAATGCTTCTGCCACCAGTAACCTACAAAATGGCGCACATGTACAGCCCCAGTTGCAAGGTATTATTTGAAATTCTTAAGCTCGTTTCCCCTTTAAGATTCGTAACTGAATAAAATACGAATATCTTGATGTTATTCACATTCATGTTCATTTTTGCTGATAGGGTCATCTGACACACCGGTTACAGGCAGTGCTGCAAAGCCCGTTCAATCACATGCTAATCAGAGGACCACCCGAGCTGTTCCAAAGGCTCCTGCTTCTCAATCTGCCACATTGAGTTCTGACAGTAGTATCCCTGCAACTCCCACAAAGGGTATGTTTCTATTGTGCTTGGTGTTCTAAGCATATAGCCTATAGGATCAAGCTACTTGAATTATGTGAAAACTTGGGGATCTTTAATTTACTTGTGGAGTAGCATTTTGTATATTGGATGTTTTTTTTATCACGATAGCATTTCTAGCTTTAAGCTGATGTTACTAATTATATGCTCTTAACTTTTTTTATTGTTCAACTCCAGGAAATGCATCCCAAGCATTATCTTTACAATTTGGGTCCATAACTCCTGGTTTCATGAATGGAATGCAGGTAGCTTACTATTCATGATGGTTTTCCATCTTTCTACCAATTTGAAACCTTGTTTCTAACAGCAGGTTTTGTTTTCTTATTTGTATCAGATTCCAGCTCGAACTAGTTCAGCACCCCCCAATTTGGATGAGCAGAAGAGAGTTCAGGTTTGTGTCTTTACATAGAAAATTACAGTTTAATATTATAGAACGATGGAATCTTATACTGCAGAATACTAAAAAAAAGATTTCTCACTCAACTGGTTACCTTTCTAATAGTAAGAGAGAGAATATCCTGTAGAAACTTAAGTAATACGACCGTTTGGAGTCTTAGGAGTTCTCTTATATATTTAAATAACATTTTTCACCTGCAGGCATGCCATGATTCTTCATTTAGGCCTGTTTCAAATTTGCATACCCCTGTTCCTAAGCAGCAGGTACCAAAAAAGGATTCAGTTGCAACTGACCAATCTAATTCTGGGGAGGCTCACCCAGCGCTCAAGGTCAAAAAAGATGTACAAGCCTCTGCTGGACCCCCTGTGAACCAGACACAGAAGCCAGCTTTTCTTAACATGCCTATGGCTTCAATAATGCCATTTCATCACCAACCCCAGGTTTCCATGCAATTTGGTGGGCCTAATCCACATATTCGGTCTCAGACTACTTCAGTTCAGATGCCCATGCATATTCCATTACCCATAGGAAATGGACCTCAGGTGGTGCAGCAGCCTGTTTTCGTTCCAGGTCTTCAGCCTCATCCATTGCCGCCTCAGGGAATGATTCATCAGGGTCAAGGCTTGACTTTCACACAACCTTTGGGTGGCCAGCTTGCACCCCAATTGGGAAACTTGGGAATGGGTTTTGCCCTTCAGTATTCTCAACAGCAAGGAGGGCAGTTTGGTGTTCCTCGTAAACCTACTCCTGTCAAGATTACACACCCTGAGACTCGTGAAGAATTAAGGCTTAATAAACGAATAAATACATATTTAGATGGTGGGTCATCAGGTCCAAGGTCTCATTCTAATGCACCTCCTCAATCCCAGCCAGTTCCATCATTTGCACCTTCTCACTCAGTCGACTATTATTCCAATTCTTACAATACCAATTCCATGTTCTATACACCACCAACTTCTCTGTCTTTGTCTAGAAGCCAGGTAGCAGTAGCACCCAATGGCCAAGGGCCGAGATTTAATTTGCCTGCTGGCCAGAGTCATCAAAACATTTCTTATATGAACTCAGCAGCAGCCCATGGTTCACTTTCAGTTAAGAAATCTGTAAATCTTAGAACTGGTTCTTCAGAATCACCAAGTTTGGAATTGGCACCTGAAGGTCACAATGTAGCTTCTTCTGCTCCTTCAGGTACAACACAAGTTACAGTCAAGCCGGTAACTGTTTCTGTTGGAGAAAAGGTGGCTGATTCATCTTTATCAATTAGTTTGCCTCCTGTTGAAAAGGTTAGACCAGTAAAACCTTTGACGACATCAAGTGAGGGTAGCTCATCTCAGGCTCAAAGAGACTTGGGAACTTGTCAAGAGATCTCTATACAGCTGCTAAAACCTGAAAGGGAATCATCAGCATCCAAGGGATTACCAGCTACTGCAGAAGAAGTTGGAGCAGCTAACTTGGACGAATCAGTATCTTCTGCTCTTGCTGCTACGCCTGAGGAGTCTGTCCTGACTGTTGCCAGTAACGAAAGCAGGAGAGACAGTTTGACCTACTCTAACTCTATCAAAGATAATCAGAAGAAACCGGCTAAGAAAGGTCATATTCAGCCACCAAATCAGGTATTTTCCTTGTTTTTTTTATTGCACTTGTATTTTTTGTTTGCATGTATTTATTTAATTTTTTCACACATTGTTGGACAGTCTATGTCAATATCCAACTGGGCTTCCCAGACTGCAGAACAGAGGACAGACAGCAAGATAGAAGGCTTAACCTCTGTTTCATCTGAAGTTTCTGGTGCTGGCATTAATGTTGAATGCTTGGACATGGTTCAGCATGCTAAGAATGATTGTTCTTCAATTCTGAATGAGCAACCGAAACCTGAAATTAATGGAATTAAGGATCCTTTGAAATATGTGGAGCTTAAATCTGATCAGGAATCTGCTTTGAACGCAATAACTGCTAGCAATGATGCTCCTACCTCAGTAAGCACTCCTTCTGTGCTTGATGAAGCTGTGGGGGCCTTCATTGAAAATAAGGGAGTTACTGATTCGGAAGCCTTTACCTCTGAAATGTCTGATTCTACACTTCTTGAAAGTTCACATGTTGATATCACCTTTGGTTCCACTGCATCTTTAAGTGCCATTGATAGCAATGAAACTACTGTTACTAAATCTGGTGAATCTTACCAGCATTATGCTCTGGTCCCAACTCCTGATATCTCTGTCCCTGTATCAAAATATGAAGGAGAAGGTGTTCCTGTACCTAGTTCAAAAGACAAACTTGCACCAGAATTCAATAGGACAAAGAGTACATCAACTAGTGGGAGGAAAAAAAGAAAAGAAATTCTTCAGAGGGCAGATGCTTCTGGGACGACTTCAGATCTCTATATGGCATTTAAAGGTCCTGAGGAAAACAAAGAGACAATCATACCTTCAGCAAGTGCAGACAGCAATTGTAATGGTGTTAATTTGAAGTTGGTATCTCACGAGTCACCTCAGGTGGATTCTACAAAAAGTGATAAAATTGCAAAAGATAAAGCTGAACTGGATGATTGGGAAGATGCTGCTGATATATGTGCACCAAAATTAGAAACTTCAGAGAATATCAAAAAGGTTAATGAAGGGTTAATAAATCATGAGGATGATGGAAGTGGTAATATGTCAAAGAAGTATTCCAGAGATTTTCTTCTTAAGTTTGCTGAGCAGTGTACTGATCTTCCACAAGGTTTTGAGATTGCTTCCGATATTGCCGAGGCCTTGATGGTTTCTAATGTTAATACTTATCACCATGTTGATCGTGATTCATATCCTAATCCTGGAAGAAGAATAGATAGGCAATCTAGTGGATCTCGATTAGATCGGCGAGCTATTGGAATGGTTGATGATGACAGATGGATGAAAATTCCTGTTTCTTTTGGGCCTGGAAGGGATGCTCGCCTTGATCTTGCTGACGGTGCTGCTGGTGGTGGTTTTCAGCCTGTCCATGGAGGTAACTTCGGTGTTATAAGGCACCCACGAGTTCCAACATCTCTTCCATTTGTTGGAGGGATCTTTCCTGGACAAATGCATCCTATGGGTTCGCAAGGATTGATACCACGAAGTCCTGTTACTGACAGGTGGCAACGTGTTCCTAACTATCAGCAGAAGGGGTTGATTTCTTCGCCGCAAACACCATTACAAATGATGCACAAAGCTGAAAGGAAGTATGAAGTGGGTAAAGTGACTGATGAGGAAGCCTTAAAGCAAAGACACCTGAAAGCAATTTTGAACAAACTAACTCCCCAAAACTTTGAGAAGCTCTTTGAACAAGTTAAAGCAGTGAACATCGACAATGCAGTTACACTCACTGGTGTCATCTCACAAATCTTTGACAAAGCTTTGATGGAGCCCACTTTTTGTGAAATGTATGCGAACTTCTGTTATCATCTATCAGGAGAGTTGCCTGATTTTAGTGAAGATAATGAAAAGATAAATTTTAAGAGATTGTTGCTGAACAAGTGCCAGGAGGAATTTGAAAGAGGGGAGAGGGAACAAGAAGAAGCAAATAAAGTGGTGGAAGAGGGTGAGGCTAAGCAGTCTGAGGAGGAAAGAGAGGAGAAGAGAATCAAGGCACGGAGACGAATGTTGGGTAACATTAGACTTATTGGGGAGTTGTACAAGAAGAAAATGTTAACTGAGAGAATTATGCATGAATGCATAAAGAAATTACTTGGTGAGTATGAGAATCCTGATGAGGAAGATGTTGAGGCTCTATGTAAATTAATGAGTACAATTGGAGAAATGATTGACCATCCCAAAGCAAAGGCGTACATGGATAATTATTTTGAGATGATGGCAAAGCTGGCTAACAATATGAAATTATCTTCTAGGGTTAGATTCATGTTGAAAGATGCTATCGATCTGAGAAAGAATAAGTGGCAGCAGAGGAGGAAAGTTGACGGGCCTAAAAAGATAGAGGAAGTGCACAGAGATGCTGCTAAAGAGAGACAAACACAAACCAGTAGGCTTGCCCGTGGTCCTGGCATCAATCCTGGTGCGAGAAGAGCACCCATGGATTTTGGTCCACGAGCGTCTAAGTTATCTTCTCCTGGGGCTCAGATGGGTAGTTCTCGTGGGTCTCCCACCCAACACCGGGGTCCTGGGGCTCAGGATGTTTACATGGATGATAGACAGTCTTCTGAGGCCAGGAATTTGTCAGTTCCCTTGCCTAAAAGACCAGTCGGTGATGATTATATTACCTTGGGGCCCCAAGGTGGTCTAGCTAGAGGGATGGCTTTTAGAGGACCACCAGCAACGTCAAGTACTCCCGTAGCTGATGTTTCTCCAATTTCAGGAGACGCAAGAAGAACTGCTACTGGTTTGAATGGTTTTAGTTCTCCTGCAGCCTCTCCTGCTGCTTCTCCTGCACAAGGTCAAACATCAGGTTTCACTCAAAATATTCCTTCAGAAAAGAGCTGGCCTGAGGAGCGCCTGACAGAAATGTCTATGGCTGCTATTAAAGAATTTTACAGGTATCCTCTTGGCTCAACGCTGATTGATTTTAATGTCTCCATACTAGCCTTTCTGTTTCCTTTTAACATGTATATATTTAAATGCGAACACTTTCATCTGCACAATGCACTGTACTTTTTAGTCAGTGACAGAAAAGTTGAAACGTAAAACTGCTCCTGAAAGGTGTCTCTTTAGGATCTGAAATACTGAATTTACAGGTGGGCAGTCTAATAATCCGACTACAACTAAATTGCTCAAATTCTGTCATCACTTAATCATATTTAGAAGCAAATATTTTTGAGAATTTCTGCTATTTCTAAAACTTGAAAGGATATCGAGATTTGGATGTTGATAGTAATACTGATGTCTTGATTTAAATTGAATAGTGCTGCTGCTGATAGTAAACTTGAAAAGTTATAGTAAGATTTTAAATTTCTGATAGTAGGATATTGATATTTTAAGGTTTATTTTATTTTATTTATTTTTATTAAAGTATGTTGTTTATGCATCTATTATATAATTTTGATAGTGATAGGTGTTGATGATAAACTTAGAATTGTATTACATATTTTGTCCTTGTTTTTATCTGCAGTTTTGATGATTATTTGTTTCAAGTAGTGAACATTTTTGGCTTTTAATTCTTGCAGTGCTAGAGATGAGAAAGAAGTTGCTTTGTGCATCAAAGATTTGCACTCTCAAAGCTTCCATCCGACAATGATTGCCCTTTGGGTAACAGACTCTTTTGAGAGAAAAGACATGGAACGAGATCTTTTGGCAAAGCTACTTGTCAATCTGGCAAGGTCTCATGATGATGTGTTGAGCCAAGTTCAACTTGTTAAAGGGTATGAGAATCATTTAACTAAATCTACCTACCTGTGTTTTTCGGACTTGAGAGTATCAGACATGAGTGCATTTAACTTGGATATTTAGCGATTGATTAAATCTTTTTGAAATCATTATTTCTGAGCCTTGTTTTCTTTATTTAGGTTTGAGTCTGTTCTCAGCACATTGGAGGATGCAGTGAATGATGCTCCAAAAGCTGCGGAATTTCTCGGTCGAATCTTTGCCAAAATCATAGGTGGGAAGGTAATTACCCTGAGTGAGATTGGGGGTTTAATACATGATGGGGGAGAGGAGCCAGGTCGACTACTAGAAACAGGGCTTGCTGCTGATGTTCTTGGAAGAACCTTGGGGGCCATTAAGACCGACAAAGGAGAAACTTGCTTAAATGAAATTCTAGCAAGTTCCAGTTTGCGACTGGAGGACTTTCGACCTAACAAATCCAGTATTTTACAAAAGTTTGTTTATTAGTAAATATATGAAACCACTATTGCCTTCTCTTTTATTCACTGACGGAATTCCCAAACACACTCGGAGAAATAAAAGAAAGGACAATTTATCTTTAATTGACTACTATTGCCTTCTCTTCTCATTTCATGAAGCAACAGAATCGAAGCGATATAATATTCTTTTTTCTGAATATTTAGCTCTCAAAAACAAATTGAATTAATATATCAAACTCCGCTTCTGGTGCGTGGCAGTTTAATTTAAGGTGATTTTTAATTTAAAATATTATCTTGTTCAACATAAAAAATTGTATAATTGCAATATTTTCATTTGTAAGAGAAAAAGTTATATAACAGCGGGTTTAAGGTTTATACCAAAAAGGTTTGTAAAAAAATTATTACGGAAAAGATAATATATTTGGTTATAAGATAATTTTTTTATAAGATTTTAGGTTAGAATCGATTTATGTAATTTTCAGCCTTATATTAACAAATTATATTTTAGAGATGGATTTTTTGAGTTTTGATAGAGAATAAATGAATGAATAATTCTTTTTTCATCATCGTTTTTCATTTTCGCTTCTCCTAAACACACTGTTGAAAACATTTTGATGTTTCGATATAACAAATTAAATTAAAAGAATTTTAATTTTGAAAAATATTTTTTCTAAGCATATTCGATATATTAAATCGAATATCAAAATATTACTCAAAGTATTTCAAAGTTCATTTAAATCCTTACTCAAGTGTAAAATTAAGTTTTAATCTTAAAATAATTTCAAAACGATTTTACAAAATATTTCGAACCATTTCAAAGCCAAAAATTCCAGATTGCTCAGAGGGAACCGATTCCCCCCCTGAATGGTTTGGCTCCGAGAATTCCAGTATGCTCGGAGGGAACCGATTCCCCCCAGGGGGTACCGATTCCCCCCACTATTCAACGGTCGAAATATTTGAATTTTACACCTAGGGAACTGATTCCCCATTAGGGGTACCGATTCCCCCCACTCTCCAAGCAGAAATATTAATTGTTTTCACACTTAAACGGCTCCAAAAACTTCATTAATGATCCCCAACGTTCAGAAGTGATTCAAGGTGTATTTAAGCAAGCTTAGAAGCCATTGATCAATAACAAGAAACATCAAGCAACTAGAATCAAGAGAGAATCAAAGAGAAAGCATCAAACCTCAAGTTTGAGCATTTCAAGCCTATCTTTCATTCAATATTCATTTTGCTTTCAAGAACACTTATTGTGCTCAGTTGTATTCATTCTTGAGTGTTCTTTTCTTTGTTCTAGAATTGTGCAAACAATCTACCTTGTGAGGATTTCCTTGTTAGTTTGCAAATTTGTATTGTTCTCTTTGGGAGAGAGTGTTCTCAAGAATTTGGGGTATAATTCTTGAGGGTTTGTAAGGTTACTTTTTGTCCTCAAAAGAAAGACAAATTAGTGAATTTGTGGAAAATCCTTAGTGTGGATAGCTAAGGTAGTGGACATAGACTTTGGTTGAGAAAGTCGAACCACTCTAAATCGCTGTGCAAATTTCTTTCAATTTTCTGCAAAAGCTTCCACCAAAATTGTAATTGCCAATTCACCCCCTCTTGGCCATATTCGTCAATCGATTAACTCAACAATCGGCATCAAAGGCTAACTCATTTGAAGGTTTAATCCTCTCTTGAGTCGATTCGGGAAGAGTTACATCGATAATCAAAGTCATCAATGGCCTCTACTTCAAACTTCGAATCCGGTCTCGATTCGATGCCCGTCAACAAGCCTCCTTTCTTCAATGGGGCTAACTATGCCTATTGGAAAAATAGGATGATGTACTTCATTCAAGCAAGTGACATGGGAGCATGGAATGTCGTAGAAGAATGATACATCAAGCCTCTTACTCATCCAAATTGTGGAGTGAAGGAGAGACAAAAATGTTCCAGCTCAACTCCAAAGCCATCCATATCATATTTTGTGCTCTTGGACCAGATGAATACGGAAGAGTTTCATCTTGTAGAACCGCCAAAGAAATATGGGACAAACTTCAAGTCACTCATGAAGGTACCGATCAAGTAAAGAAATCTAAAATTAGTATTCTAACGCATAGCTATGAAAAATTCACGATGAAACCAAATGAAGATATCAAAGCTATGACGGATAGATTTTCAACGATTGTCAATGGTATCAAATCATATGGAGAGATCATTTCAAATGAAAAGCTTGCGAGGAAGTTAGTCTACTCCCTTCCAAAATCGTGGCAATCAAAGAAGACGGCAATCATCGAGTCTAAGGACCTAACGTCCTTAACTCTTGAAGAGCTAATCGGTTCACTCCTCACTCATGAAATGATGCTTGAAGATGAGGTAGACCTTGATAATATTGAAGAGACACCAAGGAGAAAGAGAAGAAGAAAAACATTGGAGTTTCTCTCAAATCCAAAAAAGATGAGAGTGATTCGGATGAAGATGAAGATGATGAGGAAATGACATTGTTTGCCAAACGGTTCAGAAAAATGATGAGACCTTACCGAGGGAGAAAATTCAAACGAAATGAAGGCCTCAAAAATGAACCAAAAGAGAAGGACCCGATCATTTGATATGAATGCAAAAAGCCAGGGCATGTCAAATATGATTGCCCACAATTGAAGGGAAAGGGTCAATCAAAGAATAAGCACAAGGCTCATGTGGCTACATGGAGCGATGAAGAAGGTTTCGATGAAGAAGAACAAGAAGTAGCAAACTTGTGCTTGATGGCATTCGGGGAAGATTCTAAGGTAACCTCTAACTCATATGTTTTTGATGATATATCCTATGATGAGCTATTAGAGGAATATAATGGGTTGGCTTCGGATTATGAGAAATTGTTTTTAAAATATAAAAATGATGTTTCAAAATTGAAAAATGAAAATAAACTCATATCCAAAACCAATAACGATCTTGAAAGTAAAATCAAAGATTTGCAAATCAAACTAGAAGAGTTTGAAAAGAAAAATTTTGATTTGCAAAATTTACTTTCAAAGGTCAATGATGATCATCAAAAGAAAATTGATGATCTTAAAGCTTCTTTTGATAAAGTTGGAACAAAACGTTTTGAAAATGGAGAAAATTCAAAATCCAACTTTGTTAGAAAAAGTTTTAAAAACTACAATCATAGAGGTCCCCAAAAAACCTCTAATGGAAAAAGTTTTAAAATACAACTTTGTTAGAAGTATACGGGTTCCTAAAGAGCTCATTACTACTAAAGATAATGATATCCTATACAAATGGATACCTAAGGGGACTAGGATTTTGGAAACTAATGGATATGGACCCAAAACAATTTGGGTACCAAAAATTAGAAATTAATCTATGTTTGTAGAAAAAAGAGCATTGCTATAAGGCACGGGAAACAAATCCAAATTCATAGTACCTTGATAGTGGATGCTCAAGACACATGACCAGAGACAAAAGCCGGTTCATTGAGCTTAACGCCAAAAATGGAGGAGAAGTGACTTTTGGTGATGATTCAAAAGGTCACATTGAAGGTATTGGTACTATTGGTAATACATCTTCCATACAAATTAAGAATGTTTTATATGTGAATGGATTAAAGCATAATCTCTTGAGTATTAGTCAATTATGTGATAAGGGATTCAATGTCATATTTGAAACTAATGGTTGTAAAGTCATTGACATTGCATCTAATAGGATTATGCTTGTTGGTCATAGAATAGGAAACATATACATGGTGCATTTAGACTCTATGTAAATGACTAATTTATGCCTAATTGCAAAATATGAGCATGATAGTTGGTTATGGCATAGGAGACTAGGACATGCTAGCATGAGTATTTTGCAATGGTTAGTTCAAGGAGAATTGGTTCGAGGGCTGTCTAAACTAAAATTTGATAATGATAAAATCTGTGATGCTTGTGCTAAAGAAAAAAAGCGAGTTTCTTTTAAATCCATTAATGACATATCAACTAGTAGAGTATTACAATTGATCCATATAGATCTTTTTGGGCCAACAAGGACTACTAGCTTGGGTGGAAAACAATATGCATTTGTCTTGGTAGATGACTATTCTAGATATACTTGGGTTCTATTTTTAAGTACTAAAGATGAAGCATTAGAACATTTCATCACATTTTAAAAAAATAATCCAAAATGAAAAAGGTTACTCTATAACTAGTGTGTTAGGAGTGATAATGGCACTGAATTTGAAAATCTTGGATTTATTGAGTTTTGTAATTCTAATGGTATTAGCCATAATTTTTCAGCACCTAGAACCCCTCAACAAAATAGAGTTGTTGAGAGGAAAAATCGAACTTTAGAAGAAATGGCTAGAACCATGCTTTGTGAAAATAATTTGCCAAAATATTTTTGAGCGGAACCCACAAATACCGCTTGTTATGTTGTAAATCGAATAATGATTAGGCCAATTTTAAAGAAAACTCCATATGAAATTTTCAAAAATAAAAAGCCTAACATTAGCTATTTTCATCCTTTTGGATGTAAATGTTTTGTTTTGAACAACGATAAAGAAAACCTTGGCAAATTTGATGCTAAAAGTGATGAAGGAATTTTTCTGGGTTATTCCTTAAATTCTAAAGCTTATCGAGTATTTAATAAAAGAACTTTAGTTGTAGAAGAGTCTATACATGTTATTTTCGATGATAATCCCCTTTCGAGGAAGGATTCTTGTGTGAATGATGATGTAGGCATTATAAATACAAATGAAGTTAGACATGACATTGAAGAACCATCATCAAAGGAAGAAACAAAAGTTGAGGTAACTCATGATCCTCTTGAGAATCCAACCATTGAAGACAGGGAAGTATCTTATCCAAGAGAGTACAACTATGTCAAGGATGGTGAGATTATAGGTGACCCATCCAAAGGGGTAACAACTCGATCTTCTCTTAGAAATATTTGTAATTATGTTGCATTTATTTCATGCATAGAGCCTAAGAATATTAAAGAAGCATTAAAAGATGAACATTGGATTATGGCTATGCAAGAAGAATTAAATCAATTTGAGAGAAGTAAAGTATGACCATTAGTTGAAAGGCCTAGTAATACATCTACTGTAGGTACTAGATGGGTATTTAGGAATAAGCTTGATGAGAGTGGTAATATAGTGAGAAACAAGG